ATAATCCTTATTTTTAAATATTATCAAAAAAAAAATTATTTAAATATATTAAATTTTTAAAAAAATAGATCAGAAGTATTTTTATAGTAAAATTCAGTCCAAATTTGGCATGATTTTCAAACAGTTTAAGAGATAATCATGATAATAACAGGTTCCCTTGGACGAGAGTTGGGGCGCGAATTGTTGTCTATTGCAATTAAATCGGCGTAAGAGCTTCCCTAGATTTAACTTTATTCTCACAGCGGTTCCATATCAAGTTTAGTAGTTGCATATAAAGAAGGAGATTTAGATCATACTCACGAACTTGATTGTGCTATATCCATTATCGATTTTGTGGGAGCTCACTACCCTGCTCAGCATCTTTTCGATTTGTTGAATTCAAATGAATTATTCGAGATCATGATAGTGGCTAGTTAATTGAAATCTTCAATAAAATTGAACTGATGACATATTTCAGATTTTTTAGTTTAGAATGAAATGATTAATATGTAATCGATTGTTAAACATGTTTAATCAGGATTCAGAAAAAAGATGATATAGATCAGTTTTAACTATATTTGGAAGTAAAATTGAATCAAGAACGTAAATATATTTAAGTAGCAACGATTAAACATATTATGTTTGTTCGTTACGTTCTTGATTCAATTCGGACGAACATACAAATGATAACGAGTAATTTATTATAAGTTGGGCGGGTTAAATATTTATAATAATAGGTAATTCGTTCTGAATTATGTTTTATTTAATTGCAATTATAAAATAATTAGGAGATATGATTTGTAGATTATATATTATGTGTTGAATAATATAAATACCAATTAAGATCTTGGGCAATCAATTTCTTCAACAACATCTAATATTTCTCTAACAAGACGTAATTGACTTTGTTTAGAATTTTCATCACCATCACATGGTGAACCACCCCTAATGCTTATATATTTACGACCAAAAATGTCTACTGAACCTTCATCGAAACCGTGATCATTAACCATGATACCTCCTGATTCAACAAGAATAACGAGAGCTGCCGCAACATCCCTATACAGTAAATTATAATGTTATAGAAAATATAAATTAAAATAATATTTTAGCTTGATAGCAATTGAAAAGAATTACAAACCATTCCCAGCCTCCAATTGAAAAATGAATATCTAAACAACCTTTGGCCACATAGCATATACTCATAGTACAACTGCCCACATTTCTAATTCCATGTACTGATCCAGCTTTTTTGGAACTCCAAGAAACTTCTCTAGGTGATCTTAATAAGTTACGTACAGAATTGATCTTTTTACCAAGGACTAGATCCGATCTATCTGCTCCACTACATCCGTAAGCTACTAAACATTGAGAAAGACTAGATGGCAAGACAGGCGGAGGATATGGGTGGGATAATGGAAGTCTTGTTGTATGATTTAAAAATGCACCATGACCTTTACGAGCAGTGAATAGCTTTAAAAAAAGTTCATTTTAAAATTCACAAAAATAAGCAATTGTTTTGGGATGACTGGCATTGGCTAAAAAATTTGGCATGCCGTATCAGTGTTGGCCGATGACCTTAAACTGTACAATTTTTTTTTGTTATAACCTTGGTCATATAACATCATAATTTTTGGTCATAGGTCATATTGGTCATATTAAAGCTATTAGAAAAATCTTTTTACTATGATTCTTACTATATTAAAAGGTCATAAAGTCATTTCATATCAGCCTTCGATAACCTATGACAGTCTTATAAGTCTTAGTACAGTCTCCCCTCGTTAATATCAACTTCGTTAATATCAACCTAAAGCTACAAGATAAAATTTTACAAATTATTATATATTAAAATTCCCTCATATATATCAACTTTATTATATTCCCTTGTTAATATCACTATCAACATGAATTTAAACTAATTCAAATAGGTTGATATAAACGAGGGTAGACTGTATTAACCGAAATTCATGCCATACCGTACTATATAGGCATGCCGTGAAATATAAACATTAAATAAAATATATAACTCACTTCATTGAGGAATGGGTTAAACACGACACCAACAACGGGTTCCTTATTAATAGCTAGCCCAATTGAGACAGCAACAAAAGGATAGCTATAGAAAAATGAAATAAGTTTAATATTGCAGAAATAAGAAAGAACAAACTGTATTATACCCTTGAACAAAATTAGTTGTTCCGTCTACAATAATTAAATTTGCATTATAATTATATACGATTAATTCTAGTTAAAAAACACATAATCACACCTATTGGGTCAATGATCCAAGTTGGTTTATCTGTAAATACATAATGATTTCCAGCGGCTTTCGTCTCCTCTCCGATAAACCTTTAAGCACCATATCAATTTAATTGTATATTTTTAAATCGAAATAAAATAATAATGCACGATATATAAATTGTTTACATATGATCCGGAAATTTTTCTTTCAGGTTTGATTTGATTAATTCTTCGACTTTTATATCAATTTCAGTGACTAAATCAGTCTGTTGACCAAACTTCTCATATACTTTATTACCAGTAGTATATCTTGTTTTTGATCCTTCAAGAATTATTTGCCCACATTGTTGAGCTAGTTTTGTGGCAAACTCTAGATAATATTCTAAATAAAGTGCAAACAATATACAGTATTAAGTATCATATAAATTAAATGACAGTAATAAAGAATTACCAGCCGAATCCATCGGTTCTTTCAAGATGCAAGATCGGTTGTAATTTCAGGAGTTAATGATAAAATTTACAATAAGACGATAAAAACTCTATCATGTTCGTTCGTAAATGAATCAGATGCTACGTATTAATTCCTACACATAAAAAGGTTTTTTTAATGCAGTTATCATAATGAAACTTAATAACTGGATTCGAATGATGTAAATGGTGCGTACGTACTGTACACTTGATCAAATTTTTGATTACTTTCAAGCTTTTCAACTTGTGCCGCCCTTGTAGAGCTGAGCTGAGCATCGATGATGCTTAGAAAGACTTAATAGTTATTTAGTACTAAGTTGTTAATATTTGTTTTCGGATTTTTACCGCCCAGATGAATTGATATATTATAGACAGTTGCTAAGCA